CTAGTACCCCCTGATAGACCTCTCATCCACAAATCTCGCTAATCGTCTTTTAAAGCAACCTGTGCCTGTGGTAGGGTTGCCAGCTTTGGACTATGAATTTCCTGGAGATTTGGGGGGTGGAGCCTAGAGAGGACTGGATTTGGGGAGGGGAGAGACCTCAGTGGGGTATAATTCCATAGAGTCCAGATTCCGAAGCAGACATTTTCTCCAGGGGAACTGATTTCTTTTATCTGGAGACCAGTTGTAAATCCAGGAGACCTAAAGACTCAAAACATTCTTGTGTTAACAGTTCAACAAATTCCTAATGGTTAATAAATGTCCACAAAACTAAGAGGAGTAACAATTGATAGATGTCTACAAAACACAGTTGCTAAGAGGTGTGGCGATGGACCGCCCAGGTTCCCATCCGTTTCCTTTCAGGCCTTCGTTAGGCCACCTCCAGTGATGGAGCACCAAGCTCTACATATTTCTCTTGACTGTATACAGCAGTCTATAACTCTTCCAACTGGCTTGAATAATAGAGGCTCTAAACTTACCGTCTGTTGCCACACCTCTTAGCAACTGTGTTTTGTGGACATCTATCGACTGTTACTCCTCTTAGTTTTGTGGACATTTATTAACTGTTAGGAATTGGACTGTTATTGGACTATTTACATTGGTGTCTTTGGAATGGATCTGAAGGGCTATTTAGAGTACTACATTGTTCATATAAGAATGTTTTGAATCAAGTGTTAAGTATTTTTGGGTACGGCGTTACAGTTTTTGACTGTGTTGTTATATGCACAACCCTCTTTGCTGTACTTCCATGTATTTATTCTAAACCTCCAGGTGATAGCTGGAGATCTCCTGCTATTACAACTGATCTCCCGGTGACAGAGATCAGTTCAGCTGGAGAAAACGGCCACTTTGGAAGCTGGACTCTATGGCATCATATCCCATTGAAGTCTCTCCCCTCCCCAAACCCCACTCTCCTCAGGTTCCACCCCTAAAACCTCCAGGTATTTCACTGGCCAGATGTGGGGTTCCCAAGTCCAAAATACTCACCGGCGGGGGAGCCTTGGCCGGCTCCGGGAGCTGGAGGGAAAACCATAGAGTTTTCCCTCCAACGATCCAGGCCACGCTCCCAATGTGGTTGACGTGCACGTCACTTCCTGTGATGCTGCGCTTCGGGGGGTGGAGTTCCCCCCGGGGCCTGATTCCGCGGCGGCGGAAATCGGGCCTCCCAAGTGGGGGTTTACCCGCCACCCGCCCCCACTTGGCAGCCCTATCCCTCCTGCTCAAAACAATCAGTTCAGTATGAAAGAAATATACTCTGTAAGGGGCAGTGTGTTGCATCCAGTGATGTGCTTGCACAAAACGTCTCTACTTTCCTCTCCCCCAGCAGCCATTTCTGATCCTGGGAATGCTATTTCTCATGGTTGCTGGACTCATGCAGACAAACATCCACAGTATGGAAGGGGGAGGGGGTGAAATCGCTCCCTCCTCCTGTCAGCCTTCTGCTCATGAATCACTGATCCAACCCAATCTATTCAGAGAAGGTGCTGCCGCCTAGAGTTCTCCTGGGGTTACAACTGATCTCCAGGCTGCAGTAATCTGTTTCCCTGGAGGAAATTGTCGCTTCCAAGCAATGTTCCCTCTAAGCTGTGGAGTCTCGTGAGCAAAAATTCTACTTTGTGAGCTACCGGCATTAAAGTTGTGAGCAAACAATTTGGCTACTGCATCAATTCGTTTGCTCTGGAGCCCTCCTTCCTGAACGAAGGCAAAAATGTGTGAGCCGGAGGCTAAAAAACTGTGAGCTAGCTCACACTAGCTCAGCTTAGAGGGAACACTGCTTCCAAGGGCAAACTGTGGCATCACTTCCCTGCTGAGCTCCTCCCTCCCTTCCACAAATCCTGCCCTCCCCAGTCTCCATCCCAAATCTCCAGAAATTTCCCAAACTGGAGTTGGCAACCGTAGTTTAGAGTAGCTACAATTGACATAAGGCGTAGGGGGAGGAAGAGCGAGATCAGGCTCCTCCAGTCACTGAGAGGTTAGAAAATATTGGAGGTGGAGATTTTGGGGGACAGGATAGAATTTCCAAATTCTTTATCCTCCCTACCCCGTACCATGCTTCCTTACACCAAGGCGCACGGAATGCTGTTACCTTCCCACCAAAGTGGTACCTATTTATCTACTTGCAATTTCTTGCTTTCGAACTGCTAGGTTGGTAGGAACTTAGCAGGGTATAATTCTGTAGAGCCCACCTTCCAAAGCGGCCATTTTCTCCAGGGGAACTGATCTCTGTCACCTGGGAATCCGTTCTCATCCCAGGGGATCTTCAGTTACCATCTGGATGTCGGGAACATGTTTTCGGTGCCAGGAAACATGTTTTTGTCCCTTTTCTTAAAAATCAACTTCTGTGTATTTTTTGCCCACCAAACCTCTAACAGGACATTCGGCGTTCAGGACTGACATAAGATGCACGGATTTTGCATTCAAATAAAATGACAATGCGCCCGCCTACCGTTCCAAGCCTTAAAGACGCTTTTTGTTTAAAGGTGGCAGATAGACTGCAGAGATATTTTTGCAAGGCTATCTGCCACCTTTAAACAAAAAGCGTCTTTAAGGCTTGGAACGGTAGGCGGGCGCAATTTTTATTCCTCAGGGCAGCCCTTCCTCTGGCCACACCCACTCAAGAGGGATTCCCACCTCTCCCGAAGACCATTTCTCCTCCACCACCTCCACTATCTAAAGTTGCCAGTTCCCCCCTGGCCTCTGGTGGGGTATGGGGGGGGCAGGGTTGCCCAATCCAGTTTGGGAAACTCCTGGAGATTTGGGGATGGAGCTTGGGGAGGACAGGAACCTCAGTGGGGTACAATGACATAAATTCCACCCTCCAAAGCATCCATTTTCTCCAGGAGAACTGATCTCTGTTGTCTGTAGATAAACTGTAATTCGAGGGGGTCCCCAGGCTCCACCTGGAAGCTGGCATCCCTACCACTATCCCATTTTTACCAGGAGAGAAAATAAATTTGCCTTGCCGGCAACATGTTGTAACATAACTTTCGTCTGGAAGCATAACTATTTACGACTTCTGACAACTCCAACACCAAAAGGCAGACAGGTCCAGACCACTGGAACAATTACTTGTAAAGGTCTTTCTGAGGAATTACCTGTTTATGTCATTACTTTCTTGTCCTGGCAGCATCAATAATCCCATGAAGATCTTTTCACGTGCGCAGTCCTAAAGTCTGCTGCATTTTCAGACCTTGCCACAAAAATATAACGACAACATCCAAAAGATGAGCTTACCGGAGCCTTAAACTAGTTTGGTGTAGTGGTTAAGTGCGCGGGCTCTAATCTGGGAGAACTGGGTTTGATTCCCCACTCCTCCACTTGCACCTGGCTGGATGACCTTGGGCAAGTTGTAGTTCTGATAAGAGCTGTCCTTGGAAAAAAGAGCAGTTTCTGTCAGAGCTCTCTCAGCCCCACCTACCTCACAGGGTGTCTGTTGTGGGGAGGGGGAGGGGAAGGAGTTTATAAGCCGCTCTGAGACACATTTGGGTAGTGAAGGGTGGGGTATAAATCCAATCTCTTCTTCTTCTAGATTTGGGAGTCCTCTGGTGCACATAGAGTCCTCTGGCCAGCATAGAGTGTTTGCCCAAATGCAACAGGTGACATCATCATGCTGGGCATGTCAGGTGGGGCTCTTCGGAGGCGGGGCTTCCCCGCCAGCCAGCTGGCCAGCAGTGGATTGGGGAGCCCGAAATCAGAGGAACCCCCGGCCCCATCGGGGGAATGGCAACCCTAGCTGGTTCTGGCCCGCAGGCCATCTATTTGACACCCCTGCTCTATGGCGTTATGCCCCACTATACCCTCTCCAAATGAAGGGTTGCAAACCAACAACTTCCTACGATGGAGGCAGTTGTTTCTGAATAAGGCTCCCTATGGACACCAAGATGATGCCTGACAGGTTCTTCTGAAACACCTCCTGCTCCAGTGAGCTGGTGGAAATCCAGGACTGGCTCTTTGCTTTGGGAAAGAGATCCTTTGTCAAAGAAAGGAAAGGGCCCCAGGAAACCCATGGATGGGAGCCATGGCACCCCCAACCACCACTCTGGGGATCACTGGGTAAGAGTGTCAACTCAAAAAAAAAAAGTGCTACCCTGACCTGGACAGCCCAGGCAAGCCCAATCTCGTCAGGTCTCGGAAGCTAAGCAGGGTCGACTCTGCCAAGTGCTTGGATGGGAGACCTCCTTGGAATACCAGAGGCGGGAGGGCAGGGGCAGGCTTTATTCAGTCACCTCTCTGAATATTCTCCAAACCCCCAGTAGGGGTCAGTCACCAGAGGTCGCCATGACTTCCGGGCGCGCACACACTCAGATGCACATAAATGCTCGTATGAACAAAACAAAACAAATGTTATGTATTAAGATGGCTGAGACCGCGTGCGCAACAAAACAAAACAAATGTTATGTATTAAGATGGCTGCGACCGCGTGCGCCTGGCCATGCGGTCTACAGGACTTACAGACCTTTGGGTCTAGAACAATAGCCACCGCTGATCCTAGTGCGGACCAATGGGAATGCTAGGATCCTGTAGAGAACCTATCATTACAGGGGCCATGTATATAGAACCTATCATGGGAAGAGGGGGGTGCTGAGTGGGAGTGAGTGCACGAATATGAGCCGGCCTCGTACCAGCTAAATCATCTCTTTTCGTTCCGATGTAATCAATAAATGTGAGCTGATTTCACTATGCTATGCCTGGACCTCCACTAATTTACAACAAAAAAACCAAAAATAATCTGTGCACAGTCCAAGCGGATTTCTTGTTTCCCCACAGCAGAATGCCAGTTCCCACATACCATTTTGTTTTACAAGAGTTCAGAGCAAACAGGGTGAAAAAATGGGATTGTATCACTGCATCCTATATTCCACAAAGTCTGCCTCCCCGTTGATCCAAAGAAGCCTCAAACAATTTTATTCTCCTGCTTTTTTCTCTCTTTCTCTGTGCCTCAGGGTCAGCTCTGCATTGTTACAAATGCGACTTTACCTTTTCCGGCATGCCCTGCATCACCAAAAATGTTACCTGCGAAGCTGATGATGTTTGTGCAACCATCAAAGGGTCTGTAGGTAAGCGTGCTTTTTCGTTGCCTCCATTCCCCTCCCTTTCCCCTGATTCTGCTCTCTGCCCTTCTTCCTTCCAACACAAGTGTATTCCTCTGTGAGACAACTTTCAAGGCAATCCTGTGGCCTCATGTGAGTTTAGAAATCACACTTGATTTCAGAATTCATATTCTAAACCCACCAAAGCTTCATAACTTTGTTAAGGTATTCCAGTGATTGGTTTCCTTAATGTCTGCTAAATTAGCAACATGGATTTTGTGGTGAAGAACATCCACAAAAGTCAACTAGACTCTGGCATGATGGATGGCGTGGGATGAAAAATGAAGTTTGGTGTTTCTATGACGCACTAATGTTCTGAGACTTCCCCTCCCCCCCGATTCATTTGAGCTGCTGAGCCCTCCCAGGTGTGTAGCATTCCCGGCCCTCTACCAACAAATGCCAGGAGATTTGGGAAGCAGTGACCAGAGAGGGTGGAGTTGCTGAAAGATATGGCATTGCCTTGACTGTGGCTCAGTGGTGGATCATCTGCTTGGCATGCAGAAGGTCCCAGAAGAAATCAGGACCCTGCAGGACCTGTTTCACTTCCTTCAAGATGGAGCTCTTCCACAAGGCCTTTGACTAGGGAGCCACACAATATATACTTAGGCCCTGGTCCCAATATCAGTATCAACAGCAATATTGATATTAACAGTGTTAGCATAAGACATGGATTTTGTGGTGAAGAACATCCACAAAAGTCAACTAGACTCTGGCATGATGGATGGCGTGGGATGAAAAATGAAGTTTGGTGTTTCTATGACGCACTAATGTTCTGAGACTTCCCCTCCCCCCCGATTCATTTGAGCTGCTGAGCCCTCCCAGGTGTGTAGCATTCCCGGCCCTCTACCAACAAATGCCAGGAGATTTGGGAAGCAGTGACCAGAGAGGGTGGAGTTGCTGAAAGATATGGCATTGCCTTGACTGTGGCTCAGTGGTGGATCATCTGCTTGGCATGCAGAAGGTCCCAGAAGAAATCAGGACCCTGCAGGACCTGTTTCACTTCCTTCAAGATGGAGCTCTTCCACAAGGCCTTTGACTAGGGAGCCACACAATATATACTTAGGCCCTGGTCCCAATATCAGTATCAACAGCAATATTGATATTAACAGTGTTAGCATAAGAACATAAGCGATGCCAATGTTGGATCAGGCCAAAGGCCCATCCAGTCCAACACTCTGTATCACACAGTGGCCAGAAATACCAGGTGCCATCAGGAGGTCCACCAGTGAGGCCAGGACATTAGAAGCCCTCCCACTGTTGACCCCCCCAAGCACCAAGATGACAGAGCATCACTTGCCCCAGAGTCCCTATCTATACCTTGTGGCTAATAGCCACTGATGGACCTCTGCTCCATATCTGATTCCCTTTTGAAGCCGTCCATGCTTGTAGCAGCATCTTTAATACAGGCAGATATAGCCCGGACTATGATGTTTGCTGACTGTATGTTCCATTGGATGCTGCTACCACCCACCATCACATACGAATTATTGCAGAACTAGCACTTTGTATGTTTTTATATGTATATTGTTATGATTATGATATGTTTATGATTCTATTTAAATCTCTTTTGGTTGTGCAATTCTCTATTTTATGGAAGCCGCCTTGAGCCTGCCACTGCAGGGAGGGCGGGGTATAAATTAAATAAACAAATAAATAAATAATAAGGTCCTAGGTCCAATCCCCAGCATCTCCCGCTAAAATATCTGGCAGCAGGTGATGCGAAAGACATCTGCCTGAGACCCTGGAGAGCCCTGCCAGTCTGAGGAGACAATACTGACTTTGACAGACCAACAGTCTGAGTCAGCATAAGGCAGCTTTATGTGTTCACTTTCAGGTGACACTCTAGGAATTTCCACTAATCTCAATGCTAAAGACCACAGAGACTAGGGGAAATTCCTAGAGAGTCACCATCAATGCCACCCCTCCCCTACATTTTTCCCCTCCTCCTCCTCAAGTATCAAGGATAGGAGACTGAGGGTGGGGCAGAGGATTGCTCACTGGCATCATTAGCATAGTCATTAAAAAAACTTGCAAACCCCTTCTTCCTCACAAGAAGGCTCTGTAGTTTCATTAACCTCTTTTTCTTTCCCTGATCAAAATTTTCTATGTATTTTAGGTAATAAGAAGCCAGAGCAGTTTACCAGAAATTCAATTTACATAAACACACAAGGGGAAAGTGGGGGGGGGGGACAGAAATAAAAGTACAATAAAGGGCAATACAAACAATAAATTGCAATAAATTACACCCTGGGTTTATCCCAGATCCCCAAGATCAGCTGACTCAGGGCTGCAGGCTAAGGAACAGAAGCCTTTGGTCACACCCAGGTCAAAATTACTGCAAACAGGAAGGGAACCAGAAATTCAGCTCAGAACTTATGAGCTGGCAAAGATGTTCCCAGGATTCTCCCTTGCTTTGCTCATCCTCAGGCTGTGCCTAGGGAGGGGATTTGTTTGGGGTTGTGGGTTTTTTAAAATTTTACATATTTCGATGCCTGCCTTTCTCCTGACCATGTCCGCACCCAAGGTGGGTGTAACAGGAAAGCTCAGGGAAGCAGATGTGCTCAGCCCTGATGCTTCTCAGCAGGGTCCAGATGTCCTTGAGAATTCCCCTTCCTTTGCTCCTTTTGACAGGGAGCTAAATATGGGCAGGCATGAGATTTAGGGGGAGGGAGGGGCTGTGGCTCAGTGGTAAAGCATCTGCTGGGCATGCAGAGAATCTCAGGTTCAGTCTCCAGTACCTCCAGTTAAGGATCAGGTCGTGAAAGACCTCTTCTGCCTGAGACCCTAGAAAGCCTCTGCCACTCTTAGACAATTCAGACCTTGACGGACCAATGGGTCTGATTCAGGATAAGGGAGCTTCACGTTTGTGCGCATGTGACTGCTGCCAAAACATCTCCTTCCGTAACTACTATTTTTCCCACCTTGTCTCTTCCCCTGTAGGTGGCCACAATGTAATCGAGAGGAAGGACTGCGTCTCCAGGAAAGACTGCAACACAAACTCCACTGAGACATACCTAAAGATCAAATACACCACCACTTATTACTGCTGTGACGGAGACGCATGCAACTCGGCCACCACGCTGTCCTCTGCTCACCTTTCCCTATCCATGGCACTGGCCATGCTGGGCTTCTGGTTTACTCAGCTGCTCTAAACACTCTCCCCCCACCCCCAATCAAAGAGAGGGAGCAACTTCTCCAGGAGAGCAAGAAAAGTTAAACTTACTACACGCTCGATTGAGTAGCTACTCTTTGTTTAATGAAAGAATTGTATTTTTCTCCATCTGTGCTCGTGCAATGCTGGACAAAGTTACACTCTCCTCAGTCCATTAAAGGACTTAGAAGGGTGTTGCTCTAATTAACTACTGTACTCTTGGATCAAATAAATCAAGTATCTGTGGAATAAATTAAGGGGAATTGGTTGGAAGAAGGAAGTTCCTTCCCTTTTCTTTTGACACCCCCTTTTGTCCTTGTCTGTTGTTTTATTCTGAATACAAGACCCTCATTGGATTGCAAGTTTTTACCACACATCTGCACCCGTAAGTGCCAAAACTGGAGTGCCATAAGTGCCAAACTGGAGAGTCAGTTTGTTGTAGCCAGTTTGAGCGCGGACTCTAATCTGGGAGGACCGGGTTTGATTCCCCACTCCTCCATATGCAGCTGCTGCTGTGACCTTGGGTCAGTCATAAGTTCTTTCAGAGCTGTTCTCTCAAGGGCAGCACTCAAGAGAACTCTCTCAGCCCCATCTACCTCCCAGGGTGTCTGTTGTGGGAAGGAGAGGGCAAAGGGATTGTAAGCCACTCTGAGACTCCTTCGGGTAGTGAAGCGTGGGGTATAAATCCAATCTCTTCTTCTCTTCAAAATTCTCCTCAACATTTGCTAGGAGGGTAACTACGACAATCTCATGTCGACAGTTTACCTCACATCAGGCCCTAAGGTGTGATAGAAGCCTTCGGACCAATTGGGAGGATAGGTGACCAAGCAACCTTGAGGGGAGAGAGCTCACCCTGGGGATAATTTGGTCACATGTACAGGCCCAGGCATTTGATTTACCAAGTGGTTGGCATGGATATTGTACAGCAATCCTCAACATGGTGAATGAAAAAATGCCCTGGTCTATAGAATTCTGGAACATTCTCTCACTGTGGGCAAACTTGTTTGATAACCATAAAAAGCCTTTAACTGAGCATATAATCTAGCCTTCCTTTTCATCCTCTTTGTTGTTCCTTGAATCCTTTGTTTCTTTTTATTTTCCCTTTCTTATATTCATTTGTGCCTTTGTTCTTTCTTTTTAAACTTTTTGACAGATGCCTAATCTATTGTCCTTTCTTTTGTCTTGCTCGCTCATGTGTTTCTGAGCTCCCTCATTGGTAACCACCAACCATCTCACACACCCCTAAGTAACACTGCATTGCCCTCCTGTCAGTCTGCGGCCACATGACTCACCCAAACTAGGGTAACTACTCCTTTCTTGTTTAAGTATTTTGGATTTTTGAAATTTTTTACCCCTCCTTGCTTTCTCCTGATGGCTGAGGCATGTCAATGAGGGAGAAAGGCCAAATGGAGGAGGATTCTAGAATATAGCACAAAACAACTGCCTTCGTAAGGCCTTTCAGCAAGGTCGAGTGGCCATATGCAGAGATCAAGTTATCAGCTGAGCAGAGATTTGTCCAAAAAAAAAAAAATTCACACAAGTTGTATATACGGATGCTACACTGAAGGAAAATATGCCAGTAGCTTCGCATTTCTCATCTGCACCTAAAGCAAATGATTGGACAGAAGAATGTGTTAAGCTTTGCACTCCAAGTTACTAGTTCTGCAAACATCTAGCCATGTGAATGTCCAGTAGTTGGCAACATGCACACCTGGAAATCAGAACTGAGCTTAGTTCCTACTGCCAGGCAGTGATTGCCACTAGCAGTTGCAAGCGAGTCTGTGTGCAGCCATGTTCTGGACAGCTCCGAGTCCACTGGCAACCTCTGTCTCCAGACGTTAGCAGTGCCTACCATTTCACAGAGACTGTGCAATCCTGCTGGACCCTTCATTTCAGTCCTCCCTGTGGCCTTCTTATCTTTCCTGGGAGCTTGATAGAACCAGGATGGTGGGCCAGATGAAAGCTTAACATTTGTTTGCCTTTTGCTTCCCAGAAATGGTAGTTTTTGTCAACAAGAGATGCATCTTGCGCTAGCCAAAGAGATAAAGACTTGGAGACTGATATCTGCAAATATCTTCACTGTGGGGACAGATAGTGTAACCAGGGCTCTTTTTGTAGAAAAAGCCCAGCAGGAACTCATTACCATAATAGGCCATACCCAACAGCAGAAACCCATTAGCATATTAGGCCACACCCATGACAGCACAGCTCATTAGCATATTAGGCCACACCCCGTGTTACCAGAAGTGTGGTCATCCAGCCACACCCACCTTTTGCTTCTTATTCTCTTTACCTTGTTTGTTGTCAAAAACCAGGGCCTTTTTTGAAGCAGGAACTCCTTTGCATGTTAGGCCACACCCCCTAATGTAGCCAATCCTAATGAGTTCCTGCTGTTGGGTGTGGCCTATTATGCTAATGAGTTCTGCTGGGTGTGACCAATTTGGGAGCCAGCCGGAACTCCGTTCCTGTGTGTACCTGCCCAAAAATAGCCCTGGTTGTACCTCTTACCCTATACTAAAACAAGAATTGAAATTGGGTCTATTCAAACTATGGATTCCACAAACAAATTCACACATGGGAATTTGTCAGGAGAATTTCTGGATTATCCAGAAAGCCCCAATCATTAACCCCAAATCATTACTCTGTTCCTATTTCATCTTCTGAAAGAGCTCAAATTATTGTTCAAGAAATACTTGCTAGGGAACTGGAACTAAAATTTTCAGAGTCTGCTTTGGAGATGGGAGGAGCCCAAACCTCAGAAGGAAACTATGTGTGGCAGCACCAAAATCTGAGCATTCAGTCTGACTTTTAAGATTCGAACATATTCCGAACTTGCATTTCAAAATCTGAATTAGGGAGGGGCTCAAAATTGCCCCTTTATCTGTAGCAAAATAAACACAAGTCCATATGTTTGGGTTTTTCCCTCCCCTGACTTCAGTGAATTTAGAAGGGTGTAACTCTGTTTAGAGTGTCGCGGTAAATATAACAAATCCCTGTTTGCTGTTTAAACTAGGCAAATGAAAGATGGGTTTGCAGTACACGCCCTCTGCTGGCATCTGTTAAACTGGCAGGCCTCCCGTTTGCTGTTCTGTTATTCCCGAATGATGTCCAAAGGGTTTTCATGATGCCAAATAAAGGCTGACTTTTTTTTTAGTGTGCTTCTTGAGTGTCTGAAGGTTTCTCATTATACTCCTGTCCCACTCTCTCACTCCCCAGTTGCAGCCTTCCCTTTTCCCCCACCCCCCATTCTCCTGATCAGGGCTATCATCAAAGATTACCCACGGCCCAAAACGTTTGGAAAGGGCCAAAATGATCATGAGCCCCAGGGCTTTTTTTGTAGAAAAAGCCCAGCAGGAACTCATTAGCATAATAAGCCACGCCCAACAGCAGGAAACTCATTAGCATATTAGGCCACACCCCTGACAGCACCACTCATTGGCATATTAGGCCGCACCCCCATGTTACCAGAACTGTGGTCATCCAGCCACACCCACCTTTTGCTTCTTATTCTGTTTACCTTGTTTGTTGTCAAAAACCAGGGCTTTTTTTGTAGCAGGAACTCCTTTGCATGTTAGGCCACACACCCCTAATGTAGCCAATCCTAATGGGTTTCTGCTGTTGGGTGTGGCCTATTATGCTAATGAGTTCCTGCTGGGCGTGGCCAACTTGGGAGCCAGCCGGAACTCCGTTCCTGTGCGTTCCTGCCCAAAATAGCCCTGATGAGCCCAGAGCAAAATCCCCACTGCACTCATTCTTGAATTCATGGAACAGAACAAGATAGATGCCAATTGCATTTACATGCATGCAGTCATGTTTTAAACATCCTGCTTTTCTCCCCAGTTGGGACTCAAAGCAGTTCTCCCCTCTTTTTCTCTCTCACAACAACCCTGTGAGGCAGGCCAGGATGAGAGTTTGTGACAGACCCAAGGTCACTCAGTGAGCTTCCATGGTAGAAGCAGGGATTCGAACCTGGGTCTCTCAGGGTCCTAGTCTGCAGTGCCATCCTATCCGTTACACCCTGCATACATGCAACTCTGTGAGAGCACTGGCATCTCTACATGGGGTAGCGATGCTGCTGGATTATGGGCACACTTCCTGTCTAGAAGCGGAAAAGAGCAAGAGTCCAGTAGTGCCTTAAAGACTAGCAAAATATGTAGCAGGATATGAGCTTTCGTGAGTCACTGCTCACTTCTTCAGATACAGCTAGAATGGGAGTCCATCTGTCCTATTTATTGGAAAGTGGAGTGATTTCAGATGCTGAATGACATTAGCAGGCAAATGACAATGGTGAATGACAATGGCAGGTATGATTGGATTTAGGTGAGATATGCAGAGAGGTAGTAGGCGTGGAGAAATCAGCATTGATAATGAGACAGGAAACCTAGGTCTCAATTCAGTCCAGGAAGATGCATTGTCTTGAGCTTTATTATCAGTTGCAATTCAGCAGTCTCTCTTTCTAATCTCCCTTTGAAACTCCTTTGTAAGAGAACTGTTACTTTTTAGGTCAGCAACTGAATGTCCTGGAAAGTTAAAATGTACCCCCACTAGTTTTTGAATGCTGTGGTTCCTAATTCAGATTTATGGACTCCCATTTTAGCTGTATCTGATGAAGTGAGCAGTGACGTATGAAACCTCCTGCCCTGCCACATATTTTATTAGTCTTCAAGGTGCTCCTGGACTCTTGCTCTTTTCTACTGCTAACTAACATGGCTACCCATCTTGATCTGTCCAGAAGGGGGGAATGTAATGAACGTAATCTGGAGGCAGCCAGCATTTCACAATTAGGTCCCTGCAGCCCGTGCGGGAATAAACAATTAGGAAATTACAATAGTGTGAGATCTGGAGCAAGAGAATCCTGTTCAATTTGGATCCGGACCAATGCTTCCTCTAAGATGTGGAGTCTTGTGAGCAAAAAATTCCACTTTGTGAGCTGCTGGCATTAAAGTCGTGAGCGAGCGATTTGGCTACTGCATAAATTAGTGTGCTCTGGAGCCCTCCTTCCTGAGCTAAGACAAAAATCTGTGAGCTGGGGGCTGAAAAACTGTGAGCTAGCTCACACTAACTCGGCTTAGAGGGAACACTGATCAGGACCATGGCATGAGTGAAGAACAGACGTCAGCCCTCACAATTTTCCTGACACAAAATGGCCGTGTTTGTGTGTGTGGGGGGTATTATTTGTTCATTAGCATACGGCTGCCCCCAACAAGGTTAATAATACCCCCAGGATTGTTTTGGGTTGGGGAGAGGCTGAAACCCTTTCTCTACGCCACTCCAGAGTCTCCCTTCAAATTGAGCCAATGTGGCACTTGGGAAACTATTTCTCAGCAGCTGTCATCTGACTAAGGGCAACAAAAGTCGAGCTGGAGGAACCCAGACACTATTCATTTAAAAAGCCACATCTAGCTTGGCCTCAAAGCTCTGGTGCCTTGAATAGCTGGGTAGGCGGTAAGGTCAGTGCTTCAGACGCCTACAACACTCTTCTGTGCCAGCTTGCACCTGGGATATTCCTTCGTCTACATAACTATTGTTAAAGTTGCCAACATATCACTTGGCCACAGGGGGGTGTTCGAGGGCAATGCCCCCTGACAAAATGTGCCCTGCCCCCCTCACTGGCCACCCCTCCCAGGAGTAGGGAGGCTATTGCAAGAGGGGAAGTGGAGCTGCTCTAATTGCAAGAGAAGTGGAGCGGCCCTAACCCTAACTCTGGATGCCGCTCGGATGGCACAGGCAACCCCAAGCCAGCCGTACTTCCGATCCGACAGCAACGACTCCACCACCCACATGCCCCAGCTCTTCTCGTTGCCCTTTTATTTGATTTATTATTATTTTTAATTAAAATTGTGATGCCAGAAGTGATGTAGGCACATGCCCCCCTGGGTCCCCCCTGAAAATTTTCTGGCCACGAACCTGGGCCTGAACCTGTGTCTTTAACAGCAGTCTGATTTGCAGGAATTGGCATGTGATAATGCTTATCTTCATAACCTAAAAAAAGAATATCCACCTACTGATGTAGCTGCTGTTAAAGGCCTAAGTCCAGGGCAGGGCTGGTTCTTCTGAGGTCATTTGGTAACCCTACCTGTTAAAGGGGCAGGATCTCTGCTACTGAAAATATGGCCACCCCATTATCTATTCCGTTGGAATTCTAAAACAATATATATGGGACATAAATTTGTCTTAGGGTTGCCAACATCCAGGTGGTGGCTGGAGATCTCCTGGGATTACAATTTATCTCCAGGCGACATAGCTCAGTTGTCCTGGAGAAAAGAGCCGCTTTGGAAGATGCCGTTCTATTCCATTATACCCCACTAAAGTCCCTCCCCTCCCCAAACTCCGCCCTCTTCAGGCTCCACCCCCACAATCTCCAGGTATTTCCCAACCCCGAGCTGGCAAACCTAATTCACGTGCAAGTTAAAGCTGTGCACGTGTGTGTGTTAAGTGGTGTGTGTGTGTACTAAGTCACTTTCGACTTACAGCAACCCTCTGTATGAATGGCCTCCAAATGTTATGTACCACAATCAAAAACCTATTGCATGTAACCTGTTTTTTAATAAGATCATCTTACATTCAGGGTCATCTTCCTTTCTGGTGAATATTAGAGGGAGTGCTACCTAGAAAATTCAAATGAGTCCTCCAAGTAGAAAATAAAGCAAATAGTTAAGTTTCTTAATAACACAGAACTCCAGGGGGAACTTGAAAATTGACAACATTTATTCCAGCATGAGCTTCCATGAGTCAGAGCTCACTTCCTCAGGCACAATGAAGAGGCAATCATATCTTTCATGTTTCTCATGAAAATTATAGAAAGAGGGGGGGAAAGGGAGGAGTTGGAAGCAAAGGGAGAGGCCTAGTGTCACAAAGCAGAAGGGATTCTCTATGAAAGTGACTGGAGCAGGTTAAGTTATTACACATAACAAAGGATGAGAGAGGTCACAAGTTCTAGCCTTCTCTCTCATGAGGTAAAGATAAAAGTCTGGTGAAAGTGGGGAAAATAACACCTAATCAAGGAAGAAATGATCTGTTTGGTTTAGTTTCATGCCAGAAGTATTGCTTTCTATCTGAGAGCATTAGTCGACGCCGGCATGCAGTTCAGAGGTTTAGGAAAAGATTGGCAGGATGGAAACTCTTCACTGGAAAAAAATGTTTGAAAAACATCATGAAATTCCATCACTGCGGGTTCTGGTCCAGGATGGACTGAGTCAGTGGGAAGCACTGTTTTTCTCTTGCTGTGCCATCCCAGACCGGGTCTTGATATTCTCGTACAGCTGAGGCCTCTGTTTTGGCTTGGAAACATCTGGAACACACAACAGTGGCTGTATGAGTAAGGCTGCCTGTCCTGCTGTGAACACTTCAGACTACAAAATCAAAATCCTGTGCCAACAATAGGCAAGACCCTGCACTAGTTCTGCTGCTGCTGCGTCATCGTAGGTTTGCAGCTTACAGATACACACCTGAACAGCATACTCAAGACTGCAGCAGCACAGACATTTTGATGCAAGCATTCAGAGCAAGAGGTGTCAGTTATCAGACACTGTTAAATAAACAAAATTAGGGCTATTTTTGGGCAGGAACGCACAGGAACGGAGTTCCGGCTGGCTCCCAAGTTGGCCACGCCCAGCAGGAACTCATTAGCATAATAGGCCACACCCAACAGCAGCAACTCATTCGGATTGGCTACAATTAGGGGTGTGTGGCCTAACATGCAAAAAGCCCTGGGTTTTGACAACAAACAAGGTAAAGAGAATGAGAAGCAAAAGGTGGGTGTGGCTGGATGACCACACTTCTGGTATCATGGGGGTGTGGCCTAATATGCGAATGAGCTGTGCTGTCAGGGTATGGCCTAATATGCTAATGAGTTCCTGCTGTTGGGTACGGCCTATTATGCTAATGAGTTCCTGCTTGGCTTTTTCTACAAAAAAAGCCCTGCTAATGCTTTAAGCATGTTTTTATTTTAAGTCCTTTATAAAGTTTATATCTCAGCTACCTGGCATTACATTTTATGACACACATGACCCGGCCCAACAAGGTCTCATGTATGTCAGATCCGGCCCTCGTAACAAATGAGTTCGACACCTCTGCTCTAGATAATTTATTAAATGCACTCATATGGTAATGCTATCATTATGAAATTAAAACAACACTCCTAGCACTTTGGTACTGTATTGTTTTACAATGAACTGGTTTTTAGATGTTTTTATGGCAATTTAATTGTTATTTATGTATTTTACCCTATGTAAGCTGCCCTGAGCCTGCCTTGGCGGGGAGGGCGGGGGATAAATTGGAAAAAAAATAATAATAAATAAATAAATTGAAACTGGGTTGCCAGCTCTGGGTTGGGAA